TTACTTACTTACTTACACCTGTTACTCCTCGTGGAGAAGCATGCTAAGAAGCTATTAAATTTCAACTGTAATAAATTCAATTCTATTGTAATGAATAATAGTATCCATGGGACATTCTCAAAAAAGAAATTTATTATTATTATCAATCATTTAATATGTTTTAAACATCTGTTGTAATTCAAAGTTATCTATGGCGGATCGAAATATCATAATATTAAATCAATTCATTCTATCCTTCAAAAACAGTTTAAAAAGTATATAATTTATATAAGTGTAATATTATTTGTAACAGGAATTATATAATAGGTTTCTTTCTCCTAAGTATTCAATATGTAATTTCAATGGTTAAGATCATGAGTCATTGAAGCTAGACCAACATGGAAAACCTGGAAGCACTGGACGGCCGTGAGACTCCTCAGCAGTGCGCATCCACGGCCTCGCCTCGCGGGCTTCGGACCCAGGACCTATCAGTCTCGCGCCATGCGTCTAACCAACTAGACCACTGAGCCAGCAACCAACGGTCTGAAATGCTTGATACTTTATACACATGGAATGTTCAGAAAGCAGATGCACCATAAATTCACGGAAACGTATCCTCTCTCCCATGGGCTTTTGGAGACTATTTCAAATGCTTCATTGCTTGGTACTTATCTTAAATCTAAAGAGTAATAAACTTTTTTCATATTTAAAGTAATCTTATTCACATACAAGTTTGTGTATGCTTACATTATTTAAGCCTTTGATTTGACTTATTTAGCAGACAGATAGTGTATTTTAGTCCATAATAATTCTCCTATTATATATATATATATATATACATATATATATATATATATATATATATATATATATATATATATATATCCTTATATTTGTATAAATGAGTATGTATGGTTGAGTGGATATGAGAGTCTACTTGCTTAGTGTTGATTGTTTAGACTGAGGTTGTTACCGTCACATTATTTCCATGTTCTAAAAATAACAGCCACTTAGAACAATATATTATTTAACAGTTCACTTTTGCTATGGAACTGAAATTGAATGTAAATATTATGTATCTTTTCTTAGTAATTGATTACTCGGCCTATCTTTAAGTATACACATGGAGCCAATAAGTCTAGTACTCCTGGCTAGGCTTCTTAGGAAGTTAAGTTCATATTTCAGAGTTGTAGTAAAAATCAAGAAAATACTTTGCAGCTGTTGTCTTTCCAAATATGAACTGACTTAACATTCCACCCAAAGCTGCAACACCAACATGCTATTGCTTTGTTCTTTTCTGGAGGTGATATTGATAGATGATGAGTAAATACTACAGACTACCATAAATAAGTTATATAGTGTAAACTTCTTAATTAGGCCCTGAATATCTTGTAGTGACCTACTTTTATCAAGAGAATGCGATTGATTTAATGGAAACAATCATCATTATAACCAATTGTACCAGTGATTGTTTTACTGTGCTCGTTTGTTTAACTGTGCTAAAGACAGCCATATTACTGCTCCACTATCTTTCATTGATTGTGACCTTGCACGGGTTCGGTTACGCTCGGTAACCACGCTTGTACTCCTTTGGCACGATCTCGGTATCCTTTCAATACCACGAGATCGCCAACAAATACATCTCGACTACAGCCATCAACTGCCTTCTGATATTTGGCTTACGGAGGATTTTATCGGTTAACTGGCACGTAGTCTTTTTGTAGTGGTGTTCATAAACAATCGCGACTCGTCACCACTCTACAATCTCACTAGCAGTCTCTGATTATGTTACCAAGTAATACTAGTTCTAATATTACAGAAAGAATCAGTCACATCAAGGGTTTAAATAAGATTTTGAAAAGGTGCTAATCAACATACAAAAAAAATCGATTAATTTTCGTTGGTTTCTGTTAACAAACGTATAGCAACTAATGTAACCGAATATCACAAGCTGAGAACGGTAGTCAATAGGAAATATGAATAACAATGATAATTTTTAATAAAATGATAATAATTAAAAAGTGTAGGCATTTCTATCTACCTACGAACTACAGTAAACTAATTGGATAATATTATTTAATGACAAATAGCCTATGAAAACTTTAACATTTACATAACTGTTTTGACAATGGTGGACGGCGGCCCGATTTCGTGGATTGGTTGTAAGTTAGATAATAGAACCGCTGGATGCCGGCTCAGTGGTTAAGCGTTCGTGTGCGAGACTGATAGGTCCTGGGTTCCAATCTCGCAAGGTGGGATCGTGGATGCACACTGCTGAGGAGTCCTATACTAGGAGGAGACGGCCGTCCAATGCTTCGAAGTTTTCTATGATAGTCTAGCTTCAATTGACTCATGAATTCAACTATTAAATTACTGAGATGGTTGAAAAGATTCGTAGCATCAGGTGGATGTTTTTGATGAAGTTCTGTTCTCTGAGGTGCATTGTTTGGTCGTCGAGCTATCATCGTTCTTCGAACACTTCACTTCTATCTGAAGTTTGTGCTGATGATTTCATTCAGAAGAACGATGAAAGCTCCACGACCAAACTATCCAGCTCAGAGAACAAAACTCTTTCAGTATTAAATTACTGTAATATCCACAAAATCCCTCTCTGATTATAATTGTTATAGTTTAGGTTTTTCCATAGATACAGTAATTCACGCTTTCTTTTTAGTTATTTCATATCTTGAATTGTATTTATATTTTCTTTCTAGTTTTTGTACATGATTTATGACCACTTTATGCTGAGCCCAATGTTGGAAAGTTAACAAGTCTCAGCTTTTTCGTATCTATGCTAAAACGTTATCATTAAATGAAGAACATATATTAGATCTCCTTTTTTTTTCTTGTAAAGATAAGTTATTAGTTACAAATGTTTATTTACATCATTTTAATGATCCTATTAAAATATAACATAACGTAATAGGGTATGTTAACATGACTGTGCCGCTTGTTTAATCTCTCATATTAAGTGACTATCTCTTTTCTCATTCTTTTTTATGTCACCTAAAGAGGAACATGACAAAATATGACTTGAAGGATCAATACATTTGATTTTAAAACGATTTAGCTTTTAGATCAGAATTTATTGTGCATGTTTAATGGTTGACAAATCTTAGTACACTTTACACATCATGTTCTTACCATATTCAACTGATTTCTATGATAAACTAATACTTACTTGTGATATATTATGGTTATTTAAGTAAGTATTAGTAATCACTTTTAGTGCAGTATTAGTCACAATATTTGTTGTGTTAAGAATATAGCATTCATATGTGCATCCATCGTAGATGAGCCCTGATGAAGAAACTTATACTAGAATGAAACGACAATTCAGTGTTTTCCAGGTTTTCCATGGTTGTCTAGCTTTAAGTGACTTATGAATTCATTTGATAAAAAATCATTATAACTCATTCCAATAAGTATAATTGGTTTAAATAACTATCATTCTGTAATTATACTGTCTGAATAAGTGATAATTTGTTATCCTGTTTTCATAGTTATCCAGGTAAGTTTTTAAAAACACGATATCACGGTAAAATAATTTACAATTTATTTTTAAAAGATTAAACTAAGTGGCCTTTAAACAGAATGAAAAATGTTATTCACCCTTTAGATTACCGAATACATCAGATATGTAGTACGGGATGCATTGACAAAGGACAAGTATTCCTCAAAAAAACTCTGACGAAACATCGTTATTAAGACCGCTTTATAAGTAAGAATATGAAAAGGACTTGTTGTGACAAGAAATCTGGTTGTTCCGTTCCAAAGAAGGACCGTTATATAAGATTGGAATTTATAGGTGACCAAACATCTGGTGTAATCAAAAATCGTTTAACGACAGCGATAAAAGAAATTTATGTGCAGCAAAACTGCGAATAACTTCCATTAGTAGGAACTTGTTTGTTGTATCCGTAAAAGATAAGCTTCCCGTCTGATCGCCTCTATATGCATCTACCAGTTCACTTGTTCTTGTGAATCAAGGTATATTGGCTGTAGCCAGCTCTCGCTTTTAACTCGGATACGCGAATACGTTCCAGTGTGTTCTTACAAAGGTGAGAGGCAAGCAGTTAGAAGTTCCATACTTGAACATCTAAACGACTGTAATCATTCTACGTATCCACAGTTTGATTTTAAGGTTGTATTTACGATTCGTCCATATCTATCTATATTTCTTCGTATCCAACTTCTAAAAATAGCCAAAGCTCTTATCATCCATGAGCTCAAGCCAGAATTATGCGACAAAAGAAGTACATCCTATCGTTATTATTACCTTGGTCTTAATTTATTACTATAACTGCATTTCGCCTTCTAATTATGCCTCATATTCTCATTATATTTTCATAAATGTCATGATATCACATTATTTATTTTTACTCTCCTATGACCTTTAGTGACCTTCAATCATTGTTAGAAAAACATTTTATTCATCTTACTACATCCACATTATAATTCATTACTAACCTACTAAGTCTATTGTTATTACTCATATTAAGTAATCTGGTATTGTAATCTTTCTATTACATCATCTTGGTTATTCCTGATTCACATTTTCTCACGGAACTAGTACTTTAACAAAAATTTTCATATATATATACGATTGTACAGCTTGATAATAAATTCGTTGAGAAGAGATCCCTTTGCTGAACTTCTTTATTTAAATGCTTAACGCGAGACCGATAGGTCTTCGGTCCCAATCTCGTGAGGTGGGATCGTGGTTTCCCACTTCTGAGTAGTCTCATACTAGGACGAAACGGCTGTCCAGTACTTCCAGGCTTTCCATGATGGTCTAACTTCAAATGACTCATGATCTAAACTATTGAAATTACTATAATATCCACAAAAAAGCCCTTCTGATAATAAATGAGAATTATCTGTCATATATTTATCATATGAAGTTAAGTGGAAACATTTATGAAGATTGAAATAGAAAACATTGAAATATCAAGTGATGTAATGTGTTTTTTACATAATTAAGTAATTTAAGCAATAATAAAAAGATCTTTTAAACTTACGACACATGTACGTTTATCGGCAAGTCTTCGATATCCATTTGGGCATAAACATTCATATGATCCATAAGTATTAATGCATCCATAACTACAACCATGTTCAAAAATAGATTGATCACATTCATTTTTATCTTTTTCACAATATTCTCCTTCAAAATTTGATGTACATACACATTTTCCATCAAAACATTTTCCATTGTTTTGACATTTGAAATCACAAGAAGATTTTAATTCACAACTATGACCATCTGCTTGAAGTTCATATTCAGGATCACAACCACAATGATATGTACCATCCTGTATGTTTTTTTAAAAAAATACATACGGAAAATCAAATTAATAAAGCCTTAAAAAATATTATTAGCTCAATTACACCCATTTAGCCAGTATGTACTCAAACTAAACTTGGATTTACCTAAACACAGTTGTCAACAATCCTAATTGATAAAAATAAGTATTAGTGAACATCTATTTAAAAAAAAGCTGAAACTTGGAGAACTACAACAACCATAATCAAGAAGGTACAAGTATTTATAAATAGTTGTCTACGCAGCATAATCAACACCCATTGGCCGGATACCATCATCAACAGCCTACTGTGGGCGAGAACAAACCACCTTCCGGAGGAAGAGGAAATTAGAAAGAAACGATGGAAATGGATAGGAAATACATTATGCAAACCACCAAACTGCGTCACGAGGCAAGCCCTAACTTGGAATCCTGAAGGGGAGCGGAAAATGGGAAGGTCAAACAACACATTACGTCGGAAATAGGATCGGATATGAAAAGGATGTATAACAACTGGAAATAGCTGGAAAAGATTGCCTAGGACAAGGTTAGATGGAGAGTGCTGGTGAGTGGCCTGTGCTCCTCTACGAGGAGTAACAGGCGTAAGTAAGTAAGTACTTAAATAAAAGATCAGTTGCTTGAGTTTTTCTACTTAATGTGCATTTACAAATTTAACTACACCTGTGGAGATAGCTATATTAGGCGTGCTACAAGGTGATTTAAATAATGAATGAGTGAGCTTGGTTATGAAAAGGGTAAGAAAATGATAAGACTTAGCTCTATCACGGTACATTTAGTTAATAGTGAGCATATGGTAGATATACTGAATCATTTCGAGTGGTATATCGAGTCATTTTGTCATTCCCAACAGATAGCAGAAGCTAAAGGGATACGAACCTTTAACCGTAGTTTATGTATCCAGAAGAAATAAGTGACACCCCTGTCCCTTCCTGAGTCAGATAAGTGTGGGATTTCTTGCAGACAAATAGAAGCTTAGAAATTTTGATAAAAAAAACTTCAAATATATGTCTGTATTATCTATGATAAATTACTCATTAAGTTAGAAACTTCTGTTATTATTTGTTAATAGATCGACAAAAAATAGGACCTACTAATATTATAATGGCAAATAGTTACTGTTTCTATGATTGTACCATTTTTTTAGGATGTATAAAAGTATAAATGAATTCATTGTACATGTAGAGTATTCCCTTGTATTAGGTGCAAATTTCACCACCCCGATGTAGCAGAATACAACAGTATATATATATATATATATATATATATATATATATATACAGTTTTGTGCCTGCATCGCAGCTTAAGTTAAACAATCAGTTTCATAATTTATTTTACCGCACTGTTTAGATTTTTCACACAAGCTTTTGACTGAAATACTTCTTATCATTTAGTTTACTGTCTGTTAAACTAATTAATATCAGTCATTGTCGTTATTGTCATTCAATTATCTCTTTCTTATTTATTTGTCAAAATCCTTAATTATCCTGAAATTGTGTTTTTGTATGAGTTTAGGGGCTGGTACTATGTCAGGCGTACATTAGACAGATCAATCAATTCATTATTCTCAGGACATATTTTTACCCTGTCAGTTATTCGTTTATTAACACTGCTTTTAGATGATCTTATGAGTGCTGACCACTTAACCTAATCGTTATGTGTCTGTAACTTATTTTTGTTCGACCATAAATATAGATTCACGCTTGACTAAATAGAGTTGGCTTAGAAGCCTTCTCCACCGCGCGTCATTTCGCTTCCCTCTCTTCTCTTTGTTTCTCCGATCATTTGTCTGGATCAACGATTGTATGAAATACAAGTATACGAAATTCATTCTCGTATTTGACTTATTTAATTTCGTTATTCATTAACATGATCCAAGTCGATGATTATATACGAAAGCAGACAAAATGTATATTTCGATAACAATCAGCATATAGTCTAACTGGAGTCCGATATAGGGCCACTAATTGAGAAAAGTGACATTGTCTTGTGGAAGAAAACTATAGTCAGTTGCGAATTACATAAATTTATCACAGGAAGAAGTTGATAGATATGTTTTTTGTATTATAAAAGACCAACAGCGCTACGGTTGTCTGAAGATACATACTGAAAAAGAAACACTACCATAATTCATATTATCTATATAAAGTTTTAAAATGAACATAGTTGTTTAACTCAAACGAGGAAATTAAAGGTATTGGCAATAATTGTAGAAATCTTTGTAGAACATAAGTAGTTTCTATGGAAGCTCAAGTTCAAGAATTTGATTGTTTACCTTCATTTTCTATCAGTAAACTAGTTGATAAAGCGCATAATACATCCTCATTTTTAGAAGCGGGTTTTGTGGTGATTTTATTAATTTAATAGTTGAATTCATGAGTCGATTAAAGCTAGACAACTATGGAAAACTTGGAAGCACTGGACGGTCGTTTCGTTCTAGTATGATACTCTTCAATAGTGCTCATCCAAGATCACATATTCATTTGATGAATTTTATCCTCAAATAATTTATAAAATAAATAACATGGAGTAAAGCAACTTTAAATTGTAGGTTAGAAACTTTTAATATATTGAATATCACATACTTTCTAAGTGTTACATTTGTTTATTGGATAGTTTAAAACTAGTATTGTTAACAGTGATATCGATGACAGTACAGTTTTTTTTAGTTGCATTACCATACTACATATCATGTTATTATTTAGAGAAAATTTGGGAATCATGTAGAGTTGGACAATGCTAGTGATTCATGGAGATTGATGAAGTCTAGCCCTGTCGAGGGTGAGTTGACTATCAAGAATAGCATTAAATGATCATTACATTTTATTACAACTGCAAAATATTACAAGAGAAAGATGTGTTGATATCCTGCTTTCCATGATACCTAATAGTTTTAGATTTAATCCTGTATGAGATAGTGGATGAAATGTTAAATATTGCTAGTTAGTCAGTGCTTTAGGATTTTAAAAGATTCTCCAACTGATGTTAATCCTTGATAAAACTATTTAAATTGAATTTATTTTGAATACAGTCAACTATATACGAATCAGTCTTGACAGTATGTCTTGTTCAACTACAGTACACATTACAGATGTCTTCTATTATCAATGTAGTTTTTAGATGACGATAGATAGTCAGTTCATCACTGGTAATCGTCACTATATAAAATCATGTGTAAACAGGTAATTAAAACTTCACCAGTTATATCTTTTCGGACGTAATACAGCTTAGAGCATGACTAGTCATTTATATACCATTAATATAAGTTATCAGTATTCTATCTAAAACTGGTAAGACTATAATTTATGGACGACCTTTGAGCGACTCTAGACTGATCTTGAAGGTGTCCACCTGATAAATAGGACCAAATGAGAGTTATAAATGAGTTTGATGAATTGGAATTATGATTTACAGTTAATGATTAAGGTTACAAATTAGATTTAGGATTTTCACCATGAACTGATATAAGCTATAATGCCAAAACTCTATTTATCCGAATGAATGAGTGAATTTCGCGCCAAAATCCAAAACCTGTTATCTTATACATGATTGGTTTATCCATAAATTATAGTCTCGCCCTAAAACTTCTTTTTCCTGAAATTCCTTTTATTTAAAATAGTATTCCTTAATCATGTTTAAGTAAGGAAATCTTAAGTAAAACCTTATTTAAGACTCAACAATTATATAGTATCTTCATCAAAGTGTTAATATCCAAATCAAGACTTGAATCTAGTCTCTTTTGTTATAACTGCTAAAACATTTTCCTGTATTTCACTGCTACTCACAATCTATCTGTTTAATAAAGTTTACATAAAATTACTATACAAAGCCAAAGTTAAAGTTTACTTAAACACATGAACAACAGGATAATTTAAATCCTTCCTTGAAATAGTATAAACATCATACATATTCAACAAGTTAATAGCCCCCTGGATTCAATAAACAAATGGTTAAGATCATGAGTCAGTTGAAGCTAGACTACCATGGGAAACCTGAAAGCACTGAACGGCCGTTTCGTCCTTTTGTGGGACTCCTCAGCAGCACGAAACGGCCGTCCAGTGCTTCCAGGTTTCCCATGGTAGTCTAGCTTCAACTGACTCATGATCTTAACCATTGAAATGGATAATACTTTAGAGTTTGTAGCAAACTATATCGTGATTAAGTTCCAGTCTAACACTAAGATACACGTTCGTATAATATTTAAGGAGTACCGAATAGGATAAAATTAGAGTGCAAAATTATACTGTTTACCATCTAATCTATAATTTTTATATTATTTCATGTTTTAAGCATGTACCAAGAAACATAATGGTTGTCCATTTTTTACAAATGTACACTTGTAATATAATACATGTAATAAATGTTTTTCTTCATCAGTTCTTATTCGTTAAGCAGAATACAGTTGAACTAGAATACCTTGTAAACTGAGAAATATAATTTAATGTTTGCTTTTTTGTTGTTTTTCAGTTTTTCATGCCAATATTCAATCAACATTTTCTCATTGGAAACAGTATAAATAAAGCTTATAACATAGAAAATAAATGGCTATGGAATTATAAGCAAAGATGGATAGTGGCCAGCAGTGAAATCCAGGACACGCGTTCCTCCTATTTAAAAATGGTTAGTCGGATATACCTGCATCTCATAGTTGATGTTCACTTCGGGACTCGAATCCAGTACCGTTTGCTTCAAATGCCATCGCGTTTTCGACTTAACTACTGAGTCCTGATAGTAACCTGCTTGTGCAATGGGTTGAAATTTACATTCACTTAGTGTTGTTCGATTTCCAGAGTGAACATCAACTCTGAAATGCAGGTTATGAGTCTCAAATCAGACGAAACGTGCGTCTTGGACTCCATTGTTAATCTCTATCTATCTTTACTTATAAAACTTGTGATTCAAGGCAATATCGAGGCAGTGTGTACAGTATACCAACAAGAGACTAATCATTCTGATAATTTCATTTGATTTTTATAGTTGAGTTCATCAGT